TCTGCTTTTAAAGAAGTCAGTACATGGTTAAAACTAGTCATTTTTAATGCAATAATCTTTGATTGCAAATTGCAAATAGGCAGATTTAATGAACAAGAAAAGATGAAGTTTATTACCTTTCTTTCCAAATGCATCCAACCAAGTTCAAGTTGTAAGCAAAGCTTTTGCATTTTGAGGTAAAAGAGATCCCCTCAATTGGTGTATCATTCTCCACCCATGCTAAATGCATATTGAGAAGCTATTCTGGTAAGTGGAATTGTTAAGATCTTTCTTGCCATCCTAGACAAGTTATGAAGAATTTTTTTGTTATTAGACCGATAAGAAAAGACACCCAACTCCTACTCTAAAGTAAGCCTTCCCTCCTCCAAATACTAGCACAATTCAAATGTATGCACCTTTTCCACATTGAAACTTTGGAAACTCTATATTAAATAGCTAAGACAAAGTTTTACACCACAAAAGTGGTAGCAAAAATGAGCAAAAAACTTACTAAACTATAGAAATATAGCAACAAAAGTGTAAGAAACAATGAGCAATAATTACAAAAATCAACCACCAAACCATAGAATAACAGAAACAAAGCTTTACTTCATAAAAATGGTAGCAAAAATGAACAAAAAAATATATTAAAAACTGCTGAAATGTAGCCAAAAGAAGTGAAGGAAAATTAAGAGTAACAAACCAAAAAAATGGCACATAAATTTATCTTGATGGGATTATGACCTTGTACTTGACTAAATGCATACTTTTGTTGCTAATGCATGTAGAATTTGTTGTTATTATACATTCCTTACTAGTACAAAAGCCACTTTCCATTGCAAATTCATTGTAGAGATCAAACAACAATTTAGAAATATATTCAATCTTGACCTTCCATTTTTCCTCATCCTTTTTATTTAGCAGTTGGTGGCAATATGTTACAAAGTCTAGTTTGTAATAAAATCAAGAATAAGGCTAAAGGCAAGTACCAAACTATACAATCACAATACTTATCAAATTTATCCTTCATCTTAGTTGCCATCTCCCTTAAATATATATCCTCACTTTTCATATAATCCAACAAGTACCATTCAATCATCCACACAAATTTAAAGTACAAATTTGTTGTTAGATATTTGGATCCAAAAAACAAAGCAATTATTTCAAAAAAAGTGTCAATAGCTCAAAAATTCTAAAAACTCTAATCCATCCTTCTTCATCCAATGAACATTTAAAATGCTCATCGTCCAATTCAAAAGTCATAAAATCTCCTTTACATAAGAGTGCTCTATCAAGTATGGTGTGTATAGAATTCCACTTAGTAAGGGAATCCAACAATAATTCCTTAAATTACAACCCACATGTTTAGCACAATCTTCAAAGTTCAAAATTCTAAAGTTAAAAGCAATTAATACTTTAACCCCTCCATAATTTGCTTAAAACTTTCATCAACCAATTTCAAGGCCTTTTTGCACACTCAAATTCAAGGTATGAGTAGAATATCTAGCATAGAAATATTTTCCTTTACACAATAGTGGCTTCTTAAGATTAAGTTGTTTTTTCAAAAAAATTTTATCATTTGTTCTTGCTTTGTCTAATATAATTGAAAAAATTTTCTCTTCAATGTCCCACTCTTTAAGCAAGTCATACACAACTTTATACAAATTCCTAGCAGTATGAAGGGGAATAAGGGGTTAGACATGCATAAAATTCAAAATCGAACTATGCAAATTCCAATCACCATCACAACAGTGTTCAATCGAACATGGATATCCTTGTATTATTATAGATGTCCACATGTCAGAAGTCGAACATATTCTACTAGATAGTTTTTTCAAACTCTCTTCAATCCTCTCTTTCTTCCTTTTATAAAATTCCAAGCAATGATCTTTATAGTATTCCTACAATTTGGTTTTACTTCTACATTCAAATACTTCATTAATTCCTTAACAACTTCATGCTTAGCCTAAGTAAAAGGATATGTACATTTAATAACAATCATAGTACACAACTCTTCAACAATTTCTTAATCAATTTTTTTCATTGATTTTCCAAAATTATTTAACATCATCTAGAGACGATATTTCTGCACTCGTTGAGGGCATTTCAAAACATGCATTTTTCCACAATAGTTGCATTTTAATAAGTTGAATTATATACATATTAATGTGGAATTTCTTCATTGATATTATTGATATTTTGATGAGTTTTATGAGATATTTCTTGATTTTACATACTATTCATTCTTTGTGTAGGAAAGGATGTAATTGGAAGAAATCATAACTTTTAGCACCAACATGCAGAGATCAAAAAGTTGAGGATTATAATGAATAGAAATTAGAAGTTATGGACCAATTTTGTCATCTTTCCAACCAAAATTGCTTTAAAGGATAAAATCCCAACATGGACTTTTCTTCATGGATACAATGAATCTGTCGGCAACTTGTTTTGGAGGATGACCTCTTGTGCAATTTTCAACAATTCCCTGCCCATTTATATTATTTTGGTGTGGATCCCATGTCTATTTCAATAGTTTTTCTAAAATCCCATCAATACTTGTCTAATACCATAATTGGGGAGCTTTAGAGGAGGAGAAGGCTATGGCAGTTCTCTTATGGGCACTCTCATAGATCAAAATAGAAAATTTATCAATAATAAAAGATAAAAAAATTCAATTACCTCCAATTGAGTTTTATTTTCTTTACATTATTCTTACTATTATTTGATATTCTTATATTCATAACTATGATTTCAAGTTTCATTATTTTTATTATGAATTAATTTAGCAAACTAGGGTTACAATGTTGGTCAATTACTTTAGTATAAATTTTATGATTTTTGTACTTTTAATTAAAGATATTCGCATGATGAGTTTCTATTGTTGAACTTAATGCTTTAGAAGCTTGATCACCTTTTGATGATTATGTGATTTATGCATGAACTTAAGAAATAATTGTGTAAATTAAACCAATAACAATAAAAATTTTGTTAGATTACGAGATTGACAGATAATTAGCATCACATGTAGTAGTAAGGGAAGAGAAGAGAGTTCGGAGCTCCCCTTCTTAAACTAGATGTTTCCATATCATCTAATGCTCACTAGTTTATTCTAAATTATATAAAGATATGAATAATTTAATAAATAGGTGAAGACTTAACTTGACTTTAGAAAGCTAGTTAGTTAATTTAGGGGAATCCACCATCACATATAATAGAAAAATGATTGGAACTCCCTTTGATTCAACACACTAACTAACACCCACCAATTCAACTATTAAAATTTAAAACTTTAGGTTTTCTTGCTTTTAATTCAAATTTAAAAATAATAATTTACTAAAAAATGTGTCATGGGTGTGTTAGACTAGCATATGTATGCATTAGTGTCCCATGTAATAACATTTAATTATTTGGTTTTGGAAGCATATTAATCTAGAATGTATAATGATTGATTATGATGAAATCGGGCAAAACCCAACAGATTGCCCTTTAACTTTTTAAGTGTGTGAAACTTTACCCCTCACCTTACAATATGCGATTTTATACCCTCCCGGTATTTGAGTTTATGATAATGAGACAATTTTGATGTTGTGGGGTCACATGCAACCCTCAAAAGTTTTAAGGTGAGTAAAGTTTCACACACTCGAATACCATAAGGGTATAAAATCATAAACTCAAATATCATGAGGGTATATTGAAGGCGAGGGGTAAAGTTCTACACATCAAAAAAGTTGAAGGGGCATTTGTGGGCTTTTGCTGATGAAATTGGATGCTTTAGTTATTTTTTTAATTGTTATTTTCTTTTTATTATTTTTAAATAAAATTTTTTCCTTTTTAATTGTTCAAATAAATCTACAACTAATTATTTTTGGTACTTAGTTAATCATAATCCTTGTGAATTTGACACTCTTCTCATCATTATATTACTTAACGTGACTAATCACTTAGTACAGTGATTTTAGCACATCACATTTACCTTTGCTTACTCCATCCTTATTCTCTAAAAGAGCTACATTGATGAAATGTTCCCAAATAGCCAAAGTATAAACTTGTTCAACAAGTGCTCATGTCTTAGATTTTGGTTACACCTCAATCTTGACCTCCTTTCCAAGTAGAGAGCAAGGGCCAATATTGCTTTCACATTCCTTATCCTTGCCCTTATCAACATCTACTACAGACAAAATTTAAATCCATAACTAGAATTTATAATAAACTAAAAAAATTAAAATAGAATTTATAACAAGCATATACTTGTAAGAGGGTTCGAGCACGATTTTGATTATGCAACTATAGATAACGTTTCAAGTGGGGCATCTTTATTGCTTTTCTTTTGATTTGTAGCGCAAAAAGAGAACAATTATGCAACAATTAAATAGAAAAACAGAATTAAGGAAGTAAATAGGAGAGGCTAAAAACTAAAAAGCATAAGCAACTCTACTCAGAGGCTTTAAGTAGAGAGAAAAGTCAAAATTGGAGAAAGTAAATTCAATATTGTAGCCTGTCAAACTTGGAAGAGTAAGAAAGGAGAGGTTGGAGTTGAAACGATGAAGAGATGATGTTGTAAAGAAAATCCAAAGTTGGAGTTCAAAGAGTTTAATAATTGGAGACTGTATAGAGGTTAGAGAATATGAGAAGAGTCTAAAGAGACGACTAAAAATTTAGAGAATAAATTGGAAAGGTTGCATGGTGAGTGCCTAAGTGGTGTATTTTTGCTTCTAAAACTTCCCTTTGATGATGAGACGAGAAAATTAGCCAATTAGGCAATTAGCAATTAGGGATTTAGATGGGAATGGGAATTAGTAAATTAAAAAAAATCAATAATAAATTAGAAATTTTAAAAATAAATGGACAAATAGGTCAAGCCTATTAATTGGTGGGTCAATCTATTATTGACTCATACCTGTCAAGTTTTGTTAATAGGTCATTAATAAGTCACATGTCATAAATGTTTAATCCTAACCTATTTTAAACTAGTGAGTTTGTCGATCAAGCAAAAAATTTCTAGGCCTAACCCTGTCCCTAGCATTGTCTTCATTTCTTTATTTTGAAATGTTTTCCAAAACGTTGTGAAGAGATGAAAGAATTACTAAAAAGAACTATCTCAAAACCTTCCCCTCCTTTTTTTGAAAAGCAAAAGAATTTATGGTTATTGTGTACAAGGGGTACTTATGCCTATAAACATATTATAATTACTTCAATGCTTGTCCCCTATACACATATTGTATTATCTATCAAAACCCCACCCATAACAGTTTAGAGGCACAATTTAGGATTTGAAATCCACTCATGAAGAATCATATTATTACCATTGCCTTTAAATTTTACCCAATGAAATCATCTAACTTGAATTAAATCAAAAATTCTATTGGTGTCAATCAAACCATCCTTGAATATTCTCTCGTTCTGGGCACCCTAGAGTATCCAAAGAACTGCAAACCAAACGATCTCCCATCCATATTTTAATATGTTGAAGTGAATGAGTTTTTCATGCAATAAAAAAGCCTACCATTACAAAACCTTCCCTTAATATTGGAAGGATGGAGAATTGCACCAAAAAGATAAAGATTGGATAGCATTAATGAAGAGAAGAATGGAAGGATGAAAAACTAGATAGAAGTATTGAAGATAATGATGAAATGGATGAAATGGAAATCTATAGTCTACATGTTAATAATGTATAAATTAGTTGGCTTAATTATTTCATAGTAAACACGTCAATGAATTTAAACTTGTTATTTGTTGCTTAAGCAAACAAAACCAAAAGGAAACTTACAAGGGAATTAAATGACACAATATTAGTCTTAATACTAGCCCTTAAGTGGAGGATAGAGGTCTTGATTGTCAAGCTTGCTAAATAGATGAGAAAATTGATTCTTACTCATGGCTTTAGTATGTAAAACTTCATTGAGTGGGTCTAGGCAAAAAAAATCAAGTTAAATGGGCTAACCCTACTGTTGAGGCCCTATGGATGGTTGGGACTTAATTGAAAGAAAGAAAAAATTCAAGACCAAATGAAAATGATATGACAATAGGTTTTTCAATTTAGTTAAAGGTTATGAATATCAAGCTTGCCAAAAAGTGAAGCAAGAAGTTCCTTGATCAAGAGAAGAAAAAAATCTAATTGCACAAATGTCTTTGTCTAACTAGTAGTGGGATTGCCTATTGCTTTTTATTCATTGTTTTGTATATGTTCCTTCATCCCTTCATTTGTGAGGGTTTGTGTCACCTATTGCTATGGTTTCATCCCTTCAGTAGTGTGGGTTTGTGCTATACTAGTGTAGCTTTATACCTTTATAAGTGGGGTTTTATGTCATCCTTATTGTGGTGTCATCCCTTCGATGGTGGGGGTTTGTTTTGTTCTATGATATGGTGGATGAAGTCTTGTTACAACCTCTAGATTTGTGAGCATGATTGTATGTTTTTTTTTTTTTTTTTCCCCTTTTAGCAATTTGTTGAGTGGTGTCACCCTGATCTTGTTGATTTTGGATGGATGTCAAAGATGGCTCATAAGTGTATCTAGAAGAGGTGCTTAAGGTGCAATGACATCAGGTTAAGATTTATTACATGGCTACAAGCTAATCTCAGGTGTGTTGTGATAGTGTAATTAATGTTCAATTGGTAAGAAGATAGCTAGATACTTATATATATTTGTTTAGCCCTCTTTTTATTTTGTTCTATTTTTTGGGCTACTTTGTACTTTAAAAGACATATTTGTTGTAGAATATGAGAATTATCAGTTGTTAGATGTCTTTGAGCGATGTAAAATTATATTTTAATTGTTTTATCTCTTTATCTCAAGACAAGTTCTATGATCATTTTTCTAATAAAAAAGAAAGTAAAGTAGGAATATCAAAGTATATGCTATGAATAGAAACTTGATTTGCATGACTAATGAGGTTTCAAATATTACTTAATTATTTTTAGGGATTAGTACTTACCCATCTTACCTTCTAAAGATTACGAGGAAAACTATTTTAAAATTATGTCGTTTCAATCAAGTACTACTAGAAAGAAAAAAAAAACACTCTAATTCATACTTTAAAAAAATGGTATTTTAGTCTTTTTCAATGGAAGTTTGTTGAAACAATATAGTTTTAGAATAATTTTCCTCTTAATCATTAGGATGTAAAGTAGATATATATTATTCCTTTATTTTTAACTAGAATTTAAACTTGTGTTATTCATGTGTTACTCATGTGTTACTCATGTACATGACCAAGTAATTTTAGTGTCGATTTGATTTATGGGCTTAAAAATAATGTGATAGATGTTCAAATGAAAACATAGGAATTAGGATAACAATTCACATACCCATCGATTCAACATCCAATAAGCCACACTCCCGTAAAAATATATTTATAGCCAAATTAGGAATAGGAGGTGAATAACTTAATCCTACATCCATTCACCTAGCCTGCTCTATTCTGGATTCTAAACATATGATAACAAGAATCTTGTTTTGATTTCTTAATTAACAACCTAAGGGCTACTGTAACGGGGATAAGGCTAGCAACGTAAACTTGTAAAAATAGAAAAAGGAGACTTTCAACTAGAAATTTCATCAATTTTAGCCCCAAAACCCCATTCTTTGCCACCAAATTTGTAGCTCCAACTTCACCATTTGCTCTACACTTTTTCTCTTCTATCCTGTTATCCAAATAAAATTCACTAAAAATATAAAAAATCCAACAAACAAAATTGGAAACGAATAATAGAAAAAAATTTGAAAATAAACAAAATTTAGAAAGCTAAAATTTGAAGAAAAAGGGAAAGGAGATGAGACAAATCTGAGAAAGAGAAGGGATTTTTGACTATTTGTTAAGTTTAACCTATACATTTATGAAGAAAAATTGCCCTTCCTATGCCTAGAAAAAACCCTAGTAATTAACTTTAATCTCTTAATTTTAACTTTAATAAAAAAAAATTAGAGAAAAAAAAGTACTTTCCATTACCAACACTAGCATAATAGGAGGAATCGCAAAGAGAATGAGTTGAGGAAGATGACTAGCAGAAGAAGCAAACTTTTTAAGAGGGATGGTTGGTTGAGAGAAGCAAAAAAGAACCAATTTTGACAAATTTGACAAGTTTGCCAACAAAATCGAGTGAAGTGATAAGAAAATGGAAAGAAAATGGGAATTTCTTTGAGTATTTGTTTTGGATCAAATTTTAAAAGGGAGGAGAAATTGAGTGCCGTTGACAAGCTAGAAAAGTGTTAAAGGAATTCATTTTTGCCTAGCCATTCAGGTACAATAAAGAAAAGGGGGAAAGGAAAAGAGGAGAGAGAGCATAAGGAAGAGACAAAGGCATTTATGTCCTTTTAGGAAAACAAGTTTAAATTTCAGACTATTTGAGATAAATTAAGAATAAGCATTTATCGGGACAAAACATTTTTTTGTCCTTCAACTCGCTTGAGTAATGAGGAAGGTGTTGGTTTGGTATGTGCATAAATCATTACCCTAAATATAAACATTAACCATTTGCTTTGGTTCAATTTTTTCATCCTCTTGCAAAAACAAGAAAATAAAAAGAAGGTTAAATCCCCATTTTGGTCCCTGAACTATTGTACGGACCCCTAATTTGGTACCCA